GCTATCAGGGTCGCAAGGGAAGAAGGACAACGGGGAGAAAGACAGCTGGCCGCCGGAAAATCATGGTGGATGACTCTACAATCTAGATGAACGCGCCACAGTGGTGAAAGTTTCGTGGCTGGAATCGTTCTGCCAGCATGGGATCATGTGGCAAACATGTCAGCAACTGTCTTACTCAGACACCCTCATGATGCGTCGGGTCCTCCACTATCCCCGGAGTACTGGGCATAAAATCCCATTCTCAATGGATTGATGAAGTCCGTGGCATTGCATGGCTTCAACTCCGAGCTGGGGATGTCAGAGATGGAGTCGAAGTACTGCTTGGCGTTGTGGTACGTCCTGTTGTAGCCTCAGTCAGAACGGCAAGCAGTTTCCCAGCAGCTCACGGGAGGTAGGAGGTAGGAGGGAGGGGTGGCCGGAGGGAGCTTTTCCAGGTAAAGATTGGTTCGCTTCAGGCTTTTTAGCCCCCCCCCCCCCAAACTCTGGTTAGATTTCATCAGCCCGAAGCGGCTTGGAGAACTCCAGCACAGTTTGGTGAGATGGCCATGGGTCAAAATCCAACCAGTGAACATCCCAATCCCCACTAAAATACACTACAAAGTGGTGCACCTCAGCCAGATCTGAGCCGAGATGCCCTTGTAGTAGTCCAAGGCCAGGCCCGTATCCTGATAAGCAGCTTGAAGAACTGGCTGGGAGATGTACATGGACTCCTGGCACACTTGGCAAGCAACTGTCTGCACCCAGTGGAAAATTCACTTGGTTGTTGTTGACCTCTCTGCAAAATGTTTAACTTTTTGTGGGTTTAATGGACAATTTCCCAAAAAGAGTTAAATTGCCTAAAGATCCAACCCAATAGCAATTAAGTTCACAACTTCCAATGCGCAACAGGCCAAGCAAGGGGGAGGTGACATTTTCTCGCTTCGCCATGGCACACCTCGCCATGGGATTTTTTCGTCCGTCCTGCCTCGCCCTCATAACCCATGGAGCCCAAGTCCACCGGGGAAATGGCGGGATAGTCCAGCTTGAACTGCGCGTAGGCTTCGCCATAGCTCCCAATCCAGGCGTCCACCGCCAGGTGAATTTGAGTCTCGCCCTCTCCGCACCTCTTGTTGGTGGGGTGGTCGAAGTCGATGCAACCCCCTAAGCCATAGATCGCGGAGAGGGCACTGGCGCCCACCTGTGGATGGACTGCAGCATGGAACCCCAGGCCTTCTTGGACCATGAGGATCAGCATCTCTGTCAGCAGATCGGAGGATGGCCAATTGCCCTTCAAGATTCCGATTGGGGTGCTGTTGCCGAGATCATCGAGGATGTAGGAACGAGATTCCTCCGGCACCCCATCTTCCAGGCACATGTCGCCCTTCGCCCCGCTCAACACCGTGATGGCGACCAACGGCCAAGCAAGACGCATGGCGATTTGGGCAAAGCGGACAACGCTGGTCTTAAACTAGTAAACGGCTCATTCGTGCCAGTACGGCGATCCGGTTCTTTGGCGTCAAAAGGTTGGCGATGCGGAGTCCGCCAGTCTGGTGGGCTGGCAGAGATCACAAGTTGGTGTACGGGTCCAACCAACCAAGTTCAGGCCCCCTCGTTTCCCCGAAAAAAAGTGCAAAAGCTCCCAGGTCCAACATGACACATCAGCTAGTTGGGTGTCGCTTTGCACCCTGATCGTTGCTCTATGTTGGTCAGGCAGCCTCTCAAGAAGCGATTGCGCAACCATCGCAGGGTGGCCAGCAACTTCAAACTGTCTTGGAATGCTGCTTGGCATGCCCAAACGGTATTTTCAACTCCGACTGGCAGGCAACCAGAAAAACCCATCGTACACTCTGGCCAGCCAGTCTCATGGCCGAAGAGCCCGCTGCCGGAGAGAAAGAACCGAAACCAACCGCACCCCCGGTTGCAGGAAAGCTTCAGAACACTGAGCACCTGAAGGGTCTCTCCTCAATGGCCTGGAAGCGTCGTCGGCCACCCCCAAGCCCCCAAACCGCCGCCCAAGCGACCACTCAAACCCTGGTGCTCGATAGAGAGTCTCTCCGAACCAAAAGACCCTTAGAAATGGCGGTGCTGTCCTTTTGAGTTCTCCTTGGAACTGCAAAACAATGGTACCCTCCTTTAAAAAGGAACACCTCCGTCCGTGTTTCTTTTTGGCCGGGTGATCTCTCACGCCCAATAAGTCCAGAACCCCGACCAATTGCTCCGGGAGCCCAGCCCGGCCAGGAACGCCCCGGATCAACCGCGCCTTGGCTTGCACCTTGGCCGTGGCCTTTTCGTCGTCCACGAAGTGCTCCTCTTCCACCTCGCCCTCCTGGAGGCTTGTGCAAGCCACGCAAGCCTTTGACGGGTTTGGGTTTGTGGCTGGCTGGCTGCGGTGGGGTGGGGTGGGGTGGGGTGGGGTGGGGTGGGGTGGGGTGGGGTGGGGTGGGGTGGGGTGGGGTGGGGTGGGGTGGGGGTGGGGTGGGGGTGGGGTGGGGTGGGGTGGGGGTGGGGTGGGGTGGGGTGGTTTGGTGCAAGCGAAAAAGAAAGCCTGCTGCCCTGCCCCGAGGGCGGCTTTGCAGGGAAGCCACAAGGAAACATCACAAGATTTTGGAGGTCCAAATGCCCATTTTGGCACCCAACAGATTCAGCTTCCCAAGCCAAACGAGGAAAAAGAAAGAAAAGCAGCAATTTCGCATGCAAATGCTAGGGCTTGGGAGAATGAACACATCGCAGGCGCAAACACTGTGTTCATGGTGAACACTGAAAATCCCTCCGCAAAAAGAAAAGAAACCCTCAACATGTGTCAGGAAGCAAGAAGCACAACTCACTTCCTTGCCATTCCTTGCCACTTACATGGAGTTCCCTTAAGAAATGTGAATTCCAGAAAATCACAGAGTGCAACAAGAAGCAAACCGTTAGCTCCTCCTCAGGGATAGTGAGCTGGCTTGCCACGCTGTGCAGCATCGGCTTGATCTCTGTCCTCGTTTCGCATGAGGAAAGGCTCTAAATAGGGCTTCTGGCGATATAACAATTATATATATATATATGTGTATATATATATATATATGTATATATATATATATATATGTGTGTGTGTATACTGGGATGAACCCGCCCCAGTTCGGCCGGCACAGCACTTTTGATACGTAAATGCCCATATGCATCATCTAACGCCAACATCCGCGAGTACAAGATGCATGATGTACTTGCCACTGTCCTTCCCCCCCCTTCTGCCCGGACCGGCGCAACCCAACGCGCGGAGCCGCGAGCCCCGAGCCCCGACCTGCGCGCCACGAAGAGGTCGCGCATCACCTGCAGCGTGGCCACCCCCACCTTGGGCTCGCTGCCCAGGCCCAGCTGCCTACAGGCGAAGCAAAAAACAACAAGCCAAACAAGCAGAACAAAACAAACAAACGAAACAGATTGGCAGAAAACAAGCACAAAGCCCAGCAAAGCCAAAAACCAAGACAGACAAAGCAAGGACAAACAAAGAAACAAATCAACAACTTAGAAGCGGCATCGTGTTGTCCAAATGGAGGTCCGCCTTTCGAACCCTGCAGGCACTACACACCACTGAAACGAGCCCCAATGCAGAAACCTACCCTCATATCCACCAACATGGAACCTCAGCAAGGGATCCCTATTAAAGAAACATTGTCTTTCAGCACCCCTCCTGTTTGACTCCATGTTCGTGGATGAGAGGGTATTCATGGCAACAGCGTAAGTGCATTTCACAGGGGTCTTTCTGTCTAATTGAGAGGGCTGAGGGGCGAAATGCTGTGGACACCCCACCTCCCAAAACAAATAGGGCCTTGAGCGTGGATGAAACCAGGATGTGGGTGAGCAAATGTAATTGGACAAAGTTGCAAACTAGATTGTCTTTTTCTGATTTTCTGACTATGTTTCAGGGATACTTGGCTGTCCAACCGTGCAGGGCCTGCCTTTCGACACATCAAAACCGCAAAAAAGATGCAAAGGAGTCAAAAGGGGCAGGAGGGGAAACCGGGCCCTCTGCAGCAAGAACTCCACTGCTCCCTCTTGAAGTCTTGCTCATCAAAGGCTCAGCTTTCGGCCATAGCCATCGAACCGCAAAATGCAAAAGAAGTCATTTTCAGAGACCCCCAAAATGGTGGTTGTCCTTTTGGGTTTCCATAATAATAAAAAATGGGGAGTATCAACTCAAACAAACCGAGCCATCCATTTGATCCTGCCATTCACCCTTTGGGACCTGGACTCCAAATGTGGCAAGGGAAGCCCAGAAGGCCCAAGGGTCGGAGTTGCAGTAGTTGCGTCCCAGATAGACTCTCACTTGCCCAAAGGGCGACATGAAAGGTGATCACCTTTCGGAACCTTGACCAAACAGGTTCCAAAAGGCTGCAAATCAACGGTGGTCTCAAGTCGATTCGTGAAGCCTGAGGGCTTCAAACCCGCAAAGCTCAGAAGTCAGAAGTCAACCAATTCCCAACAGCTTCCAAAAAGGGGAAGAATAATCAAAGAAGATCAAAGATCCCCCAAAAAACATGCAAAGGGACATGTCCAGTGACGTTTTCCACGACATGTCCAAAGCTTTCCGTTGTCTACTTCGGACCCCAAGCTCACACTTCTCAATCCAATCCAGGCCGCAGGATCCTTCGGGCCATGGCAGTGGCCCGCGTGCAGGAGGCATCGCTGGGGATGCACTTCCTCAGGGTGGCTCTTGCCTTTTTTTCTGAGTTGGCAGCCCATTTTGTCTGTGGTTTTGAAGGGGAGCCCACAGGAAAAAAACACACGCATGCTTGTTGGTAGTTATTGTTTTTCTTGTATGTTTTTCGTTGTGGGGGGGAGGTACCCTGGTACCCTCAAAAAACCGACACGTTCAAATCCGAGGGGGGGGGGCCGAAATTGATCGCTCAACCCAACCAACCGCAAAACTCGTAGGAGCCATGGCCGAAGGTCGAAGGGTCCCCTCAGAACAGCGCCAGTTTTTTTGTTGTGTCACCTTGTGCCTGTCAGCAACTGGGTCCAGTAGAGAGGTTAGAAGGGTACTCTTTTGTTTCTGCAGTCTATTTAGACCCTCCCCCAAAGGGTGAGAAAGGCACTCAGGGGGACCTAGCCAAAGTCTATGTATCAATGGCGAAGCGCCCTTTTCGGGGTCACAAAGACCTCTCCCCCCCCCCTCCCCGGGGCCCCTTTTCCCAGTCCCCCGGCTCCCCCGTGCTCCTCCCCCTCCCCGCAACCAGGTGTTGGGGCCCCGGCTGCAGCAGCAGCAGCGCCTGGCGCGCGTTGGCGGAGGCGAAGAGCTCGTAAAAGCCCAGCTGCTCGTAGAGCAGCCTGACGCGGTCCACGTCTCGAGGCGAGGGCGCTACGCGAGGCGCGAGGCACGAGGCGAGGGCGCGAGGAGGCGCTGGGAAAACGAGTTGCCCCGAGCACAACCATCCCTTGGTGTGGCTTCCTTTCAGAGATTCGTGGGTCTTTAAAGGGATGCTTGCTTGCTGTCAATGTGGGAGACTTTTTTTGGGACACTTGAATGGGCACCATTTTTAGTTTGGGCTCTTCATCTTGGTGCGAGAGATGCATCCCTGTCTTGCTGTTGGTGCGCGAGAGGCCGTGGGAAATGAGTTGCGTGGCTTATATATGACTCCGACTGCTGGCGGTTCCCTTTATTCGATATCATGAACATCCCTGGGTGTTGTTTAGCCCCAAGGAAAACCATCCATCTTGCTGCTGGTTTCCTTTTTGAAGGGTATCCCTAGCTTGTTGTTCCTTGCTGTCAACGTGGGATTTTCATAATGGCAGACGCCCTGGGACAGTATCATCTGGAATGACCCCGAATTTAATCCGACTGGTAGTGTCCCTTATTCGGCAATCCCAAAATGATTCATTCCACTTCTCAGTCCCGACCTATCGCACCAGCAAACTTGCTCGTTCCCTTTCCAAAAGATCCCCGTTACGCTTGGTCCAAATTTGGCGTACAAAGAACCTCACTTCCGATCGAGTGGATTGGCCAAAACAAGTCCGGACTGTTTGCTTTCCACCAGGTCCAGGTGTTGTTTGAGCTCCGTTTGCCTAAGTCCCCAGGAAAGAATGAAAAGATGTCCAGCAGTGAAATCGATTCCCTGTACACCAAGAGAGATAATAACATATATTCGCTTCAGCACATGGAAGAAGATATCTATTTCGCGTGGTCCGAATTTTGGCGGGTCGAATGGGCCCCTGGAAAGAAGCATATCACAAGAAAGCATTGGTCAAGCTGTGTCTTGAACATGTGCTGGTTGGATCCGCGGGACACGCGACATGTCAAACGAAATCGTCAACACATACTTGGTCAAACAGATTTAGGACCGCTCCCCCAGACAAGTAACACGCCCTAAAATGAGTGGCTGCCAGGTTTTCGTGCAAAGCAAGCCCAGATTCATGAAACCCTTGCCTGCAACAGTTGCAATATTCATTGCACGGGGGTCGCCCCCGCCAATTCGAGCAACCCAAAGGTATATGTGGAAAATGATCACTACAAACATTCTACTCACTCCAGTGCCAGCTTGTGGTTTGCCACTAAATCCAAGTCGAAAATCCAGCAACCCGTGAGAAACCCATTGCTTGGCCCACAACTCGGGCACACAGAACAAATGCTCTGACTCTGTTCCATAAATGGGTATGTGTCAAAATTCAACACCAGGAAATGGACCCCAGGTTTTAGTTCATGTTTATGTTTACCATTCCGCTTTGGAAAATTAGCTATTTTTGACCCTACCCTGAAGCATATGTGGTTTCAACGAGTTTTGGAGGACCCCCCAAATTGAAGGCCCCTGTCCCTGTGGCCCTCCTGTAGAAGCGGTCGGGGGGATCTCCAGAGGAGAGGCCCCTTTGCAGCAGGGCAAGGATGCTCACCTCAGAGGGGTGCCCATTTCAAAAAAAAACACTTTGGCCAGTGGGGAAGCAAAATAGTCCCCAATTAGCTTCCAAATAGTTCCCACTTGGTTTATTTGTTTTACCTCAATGGGAAGTTGATGCGAGCTCAAATCAAGGGAGCCAGCCAAGTGCTGGGGACATGCCCCAAGCATACATTCGCTAATCTGGTGGCGCCAGCTTATTTCTGGGGCATGTGGGTGTGTCATGTTCATTGGACCCTCTTTTGGTTGAAGGGGAACAAAAAAATACTCCCGGCACGCGCGGGAGGCTTCAGACCCCCGGCGTCCAATTCACCTGGGCCCTTGGCTGAAGCCAGAACCAGGGATGGGCAAACACCGGGCCCAACAGAAATCTATGGGCCTAGCTTGGCCGCTGGCACCAGGCGTCAACCTTTCGAACCATTCTTAACAACCCCCCGCTGTTGGTCAAACATTTTGGGTTCCAATTATATCCTGCTGCGGCCCTGTAAAACGACAAAACACCTGTTGTTTCCACATCCTCCCTAAGGGTTTCAACATGCTCCTTAAGGGTTTTAACATGCTCCTTAAGACTTCCCTCAAAAAACAAAAGCAGGGGCAACACATGAGTGACCACTCTCATCCAGAATCCGCTTCTATCCTTCCCACAGCAATCCACGCGCTCGTCTGCAACTGGCGGTTTCCGATGCTCCGAACCCAATGTTGACCCCGGGCCGGATTAATCGTCCGGTTTTCTTAGGGAGGTGTTCATCTCCAAAAGTGGCCTGAATTCCCACTGAAACTCACCTTCTAAGTGGATGGCCCAAAACGGTGTGAACCTTTTCTTTGCCACCAAAATGGTCCAAACCCAAAACGTGACTAAAGATCCAAGAGCTCAAGTAAGGAAAAGGGCGCACACACACACACACACCCCTCAGAAACCACCAGGGCTTGAGTAAATGAACCAACCCTTGCCAGGCGGCCCGGGTGGAAAAGGCCGCCACAGTATGGCACACCTAAAGAAAAGGAGCGCAAGCGCCGGGTTTGCGACGCGGGCCGCTGAGTCACATGGCCGAAATGCTCCAAGAAAACCCAACATCCCCCAGAAAACCAGCGGAAAATCATGCCAAACTGGGGAAGAGTTCCGCGTTCCCTTACTTGCAATATTCAGGGAATTCGCCGTGGCTCTGGCATTTGTGTTGGATGGCCCCGGTTTGTACTCATAACTCTTCATAGCAAAGGGCGGCGGCACCTTGCAGACTGAAAGAAGCGGCAGAAAGCAGCCCCCGCCCCCCTGACTTCTGGAGAAGCCTCTTGGAATCTCAGGCCTTGCTGACTTCGCTTTAGCTTGGGCACCCAAAATGGTAGAGACATGCAGCTGCCGCCCTGCAGGTCCTTGACATGGACACAACCAAGCATGTCTAGAGCAATCTTCGCTTGGCGGATTACATCATCGCAATCCATGTCATTTGTGGTGGGGCATATGCCCCATGTCAGGTGCCATGGGGGAATATCACTTGGACACCGGAAGCACAAGCATTGGATGATGGGGTTTCAAATGCCCAGCCCTCAGAGCCATTCCTCCAGTACCAAGGCAACCTAGCGGCTCAACTCCGCATCTACGGCAGAAGTAGCTGCAGCATTTAATGTATAAATGGATGCGTTGCATAAAGATGTTTATTTATATACTATGTATGTATGTATGTATGTATGTATGTATGTATGTATGTATGTATGTATGTATGTATGTATGTATGTATGTATGTATGTATGTATGTATGTATGTATGTATGTATGTATGTATGTATGTATGTATAGATATATAAATATATTATGTTCACACGTATAAATATACATACATATATATATATATTAGATGTCTTCAAATATGTGTATATATATATATGCTGCGCCTTCCCCCAGGCTTTGGTGCCTTTTTGTGGGGATAGTCTTTGCGTATGGAAACTGAAATCCTCGGTCTTAAACAAATACGTCCTTTCGAGTCCATGCGCATTCTAATGAAACCAAATGCTACCTCAAATTTGAAAAGGAGCTCCTTTTCAAACAGTCCGAAGGTCGCTCCAGCTCAGACATGCCACTTTTCAGCACAAGAGAAGTGACCGAGGTACAAATTGGCAGCTCCAACGTGATTGCAACGGACACTCATCAAACCGTCAATTTGTTCCCAATTGAATTGCTACTTGCAAAGCAACTCCTATCAACATTCATGAGGTGTTTTTTCTGATTGGATTTAATCATTGTCATTGTCCTCTAAGAACATCAAGTCTCACACGTTGTTCAATGTGGCTAAACAACCTCCGGAGAACACAACAATTGACTTTTTCACAATTGAAACTCAATTTCAAAACGCTTTCCTTAGCCAAGGGTAATTCCATGTAACTTGAGTCAAGAAAGAACTGGATCAAGCCAACAAAAGTGTCATAAGAATGGCCCTTCTTCTTGCCACAAAATGCGGTGAAACCCAGTGCTTTCAGCATTTCCTCAGATCAGGTTCCCTAGGGTCCTTTTGGCCTTTTAGCCAGATCACTCCAATGCACAAACTGGACGTACAGAATCCCCAAATAAGGGCACATGATCAGAGATATATGCTCTCTCTTTCTTTTTTTTACCACCGGTCCAGGTGGTTGTTTGACCTCCAGTTGGTTCAAACGCTGAAAGAATATGTCCAGCAGTGCTAGATCCCCTTTAAAACCAACAGGTGGAAGCAAAGAATATTCATTTCGGCAATTGGAAGTTGAATTCGGAACTAGCTACCATAAGTCCTGGCTTTTGGTGGGCTGTTGCCCAATTTCCTCTCGAAATTCCTAGCGGGTGCTGTGAAAGTTGAATAAGCGCAAGCTTGTGACATCGATGGACCCGGCCTTAAAGAGCGCATCCACCGTTTCAGAGGATAGCGGCGAGCCGCCCAAGGAGTTCATGTAGGGCATCGCGCGTCGGATGCCTCGAAAGGCCACGGCTTGAATTCACTTGCCCTTGTCAGACCCAAAAGTCAAAGCTAAGCCTTTCGGGGCGAAACATAGGCCAACGGAAAAACCAAAAGGTCGAAAGCTTGGCTTCGGGGTGGGTGGGATGCAACACACTGTTAAGTGCCAAAACCCTAGGAGCTTAAGCCAAGAACTGCAAACAAACCGCGCACAGAGTGCCATAACTAAGCCAAACTGAGCAGGGATCCGGATGCATCATACACCTGAACATTGCCTTGTAAATGGAGGTGTCCCTAAATTTTTGTGGAAAAAGCCATGTTTCAACTGGTTGCAACATGTATCTTTTAAGGAGCCAAACTGAGTTGGGAAGCTTTTAGAGGACCTTCTTGGGTGGGCTCGTTTTACCCCCGATCAAGCGAGGGTGCATATAGGGTGTATAACTTGCCCAACTAATCGTTCACAGGATCAAAGTCTTCATGTAGACATCCATGTGCGCATGTAAAAATCCATGTGTGTCTACCAGCTCGCTTAAGTTGATGCACCTTGGTTTACAATAATTCAATCCACCTGAAATAAGATGAGGAGCGAGAACCGTAAACGTGGCTCTACCGCTTAGTGGTTTGGAGCCCGCTTGGAGCGGATCTGGTTAGCCTTCAAGATGTTTTCAAGGGGCTCAATCCAAACCGCCAATTGGGAGTCCATCGGGATCCCCACAGAAACTGCCCCGAAGCCCTGATGCAAGGCAAGAGCAACAAACACCGCCCCAAAAGCAAACTCAATAAGCCGAAAGCAAAAAGAAAGCAACATCGTTAGTGATTCACGCAATTAAGCGATGGGGGTCTTAAGAGTCCAAGATCCGGCAGAGTCGCGCATGGTCGCGGCAACCCTATCTGTGATACCAAAGTGGGCTTCCCATCCTCACTTCCGAGGATTGGCTATCAAAAGTAACCCAACTTTTGCATTTACCACCAAAATGGTCCAAACCCAAAAGTTGCCTTTGCGCAAGGAGTTTAAGGCAGATTCCAGGTGCAAGCCTATGGTCAGTCAGCAGGTAAAGAACGCACTTGGCCGGCTGCCAGCCAACTAGTAAACCAACCAACCAACCAATTAATGAAAGCACAACCGACCAACCAACCAACAAGGATTCTTTGGTTGGCTCTAGGACCATTTCTCGATGCCAGACAAGTAGATACAGAAAGAGAAATAGAATGAATAATCCAGATGATATGAAAGACATCTGGATTCTCAGCCTCTCTTCACTCCACTCTAGGATCTGGTTAAGATCTGGAGAGCGGTGAAGAGACAAGACAGAAACGGAAGTGAGGAAGATTCCTAGGTTGGCAACTGTCGCTCGGAAGGAGGCGGCCCCCCAGGTGTGAACTCTCCCTTCGACGGCCACTTAGTGGGGACTGAGACCACTTTTGTGGGGCCCGACAGCCCCCCCAAAAAAAAACTGGGACGGGTTTATGAATCCAGGATCAGCATGACTGGGAAAAGCTGAGGGGTGTCGCAAAGAGGAATCCCCAGCAACCTTGGGGAGCGGGGTTCCGAACTGTTCGTGGGAAGGGTAGCGAAGGGTGGCAGCCATAGGCTCTCTTCCCCATGCACACCCTGGAACAATTGATCTCTCTCAGCATCCTACAGCTAATCTGGGGGAATTGTATGGCAACACCTCAGAATGGGACATGGCGCCCCAAGAAAGGAACCTGATCATGAAAAGGGGGCGCAAACTTCCACCCAAAAGCGCGGGCACCTGTAGGAATGACCATGGGAAGTTTTATGACCATAGGAACGTCATGATCCTAGGAAGCGGTTGCAATCCTGTGGGATCATGTGGGCCCCATTTCAGCTTGCGTCCGATTTGTGGTTTGGATTGGTGGTTTTGGGGTTTCCAATTCACTCACCCTCCAAATCCAAGCCACCAATCCAAGCCACCAATTGGCGCTGAAGTTGAACCCCATACTTTAAGTAAAACCCACAATTCTGACAGGTTACGACCATCCGCAGAGCTCCGAGCGGGAACCAATCCACGGGGTTCCGAATTCAAATCCCCAGACCCCCACTCCAATCCACCAAGTATTAACCTGCCATTTTCGACTCTCCCAGCCCGACAACGCCGAGAAAAACGAAAAGCCCCGTCGGAGCCAGGCGCCGTTGATCAAGGTCCGCACCAGGCGGTTGTCCTCCTCGCGCAGCGGCCCCCGCTTCTTCTTGACCACCGCCAAGCCCCTCTTCTTGCGCTGGAACTCCTGGTGAATGGACTTAGGCGGCTTTCCGTGGTGAACCCATCTATTTCTGGGCTGTGCCCAGATCCCCTGCCATAAGTGTAACTTTTAGTGTGATAAATTCGAAAACCCAATGGCCAAAGCACTAAATCCAACCAACAAAACACAACTAAAAGCCTAAGGAACCCATGGCCATTTTGGCCGAAATCTTGGGGCTCATGTCCCATTTCAGCCAAACGGTGAATTCGCCCTAAACCAGGGGTTCATATATGGACACCTAATGTTGACCCCATATTCATAAACCCCTGTGTACTACTATGGGAGTGTCACTAGTTTTAGTGGGAACGTATCACTTTTAGAGGGGAACACAGAACACCCCCATTCACACAAACAGGGCTTTATTCATATGGCAATATTTTTCGAGTGGATGCCTAAAAAAAAAGGTCCGCACTTTGGATGTACCACTAAAATGGCAACCAATTCACAAAAAGTTCAAACGCCCGGGAACTCAGGAAGTGAGACCTTCTGCTTGGAACCCGCCACGGAGCTCCGCCGAAAAATTTGCCTAGGTCCTCCAGTGCGGCTAGAATAAGGGGACCCACTTTTTTCCCAGTCGGTTTGAGTAGGGGAGCCCTCCCAACCAACAAAGAAGCGGATAAAGTTGGCACCGTTTTTGCTGGGGGACCTAGTTGCGCCATGTTGCGCCGCTCGCCGCGCGCGCAAGCCGCGCGCAAGCGTCGCGCCTTCTTGGAGAGCCGCGGCTTGCGGAGCGCCAGCTCCAGCTGCTGCACGAAGAGCCGCACCACCGAGGCCGCGCAGGCGCCGTCCGACGGGCCGAAGACGAACTCCTCGACCAAAACGTGAGGACTGGTCGGGGAAAACATATTTGTTTCGCCGTTGGTTTTCAAAAATGGGTGGGGTTCCCGTTGGTTTTCCCAACCTGGGTGTTTTTTTGGGCTTCCCTGCGGTCAATTTGGGGTAAATCAGTCGATGCTTCCCACCCCCAGAACGGGCAAGGGATGGAGTACATAATTCCCTGTGTTGTCTCCAAGTAGGGACCCGTACCCCCCAAATTGGTTTCGGTGTCTGGTTGTTGGTGCGCCCAAGGTGCTGAGAGCATGAGAAGGGCCGCGTACTTGGACTTCTGGGTGATGTTGGGCCGGGCGATGAGTGCCTCCACCTCCTGGAAAACAATTTCCGGCAACAAAAACGCGTGACGGCGTTCCTGGCAAAAACGAACCCAAAAAAAACACACAGGTCCTGACCATGTGGCAATTAGAGGCCAAGGCGTCTTCAAAAAGACTACGTGCCACTATAACTCGGGTTCTATTCTATGATATTCTATGTACTTCCGGATTCTTCATGTAGAATCTGGAGGCTGGAGTTTGGCAATACAGATCCCTGAACGGGGTCTCCCTTAACTGAAGCGTTTGATGGCCGCCAAAAGCCAAGAGAAACCAACTCGCTGGCCTTCCAGTGACGCCCAAAAGTTGTTTTCGTCTTGCGAAAGTCATCTACCTGTCGGAAGCCTTTGGCAATGGATAAGGCAGCCTGTCCACTCCCATTGAAAGGTACTGCCCTCTTATTGAGCTCGGTGCACGTGCTTCGCTTCTTGTTTCTTACTTCAGAGGCCGTGAAAGTGGTGGAACACGCGAGTAATCGCGGACTTTTCTTCTCACTTCCGAGGAGGCAGATTTCCTGCCAGGGCAACTGCCTTTCTGCTGTTTTTTCCCTCTCTCTCTCACACGCTCATGCTGCCCCCTCTCCGCCGCCACGCTATAGTGGGCGGTATGAATCTCCACATCGTGTGTGACCCCGGAAACAGCCCATGAATCTTGGCCAAAATACGCCTGCCTACGTCTAAGTGTAGCTCACATGCCCCTACCAGGAAAAAAGGGAATCGCCTTGTGGAACCAAAAGGCAAAACAAAAACTAGGAGAATGCCCCAAAATCTGGAACCCCCTTTTCCATGGTTGCAATGGGACACCGTTTTTTGAAACCAAGCACATGGAGGGGTGCCATGTTTTTTTGATGCACACCCGCCTGGACCAACTCAGGGAACGAAAGGGTCATTTCACCGAGCGCCACGAATTCCCAAAGCCGAAAACCATGGCATCCTGTTTGCACCCAAACAAAGGTCAAAAGCCCGGCTAGTGAGCAAACACATTGGCAAAGCCACCACTGAGCGAAAAGTGGTATACAACTACCATGGCCGCAATAAAAAGGGTGTGGCTTAAATTCTATCTTGTGAGCCTCGTTTGGTGGTCAAGCCAACTCAGATTGTCAGGCTCAGTGCTGGGCGGCATATGTGCGTTCCCTGCTATCTCTAACTGAGTAAGGGTCCGTTTCACTTGCCCGTTTGCTTCAGCTTGCTTCCATGTGCAGCCTGCGTTTGCTCATCCGCAAGGTAAAGATCATACTGTTGAGCCAGGATCAATAGCTGAGCATTCCCCCTTGGATTCCCTCTCAAATGGCACTCCCCATTGTCCATCAACCAGGGTCTTATGAACTTTGTCATGTCATTATCTGAGAAACTGGAAAATGCTGGAAATGCGCACCAAACCAGCAATCATGGAAGTAGACACGGGGCCTTTGCAAGAGGACCGTAGTCTTGCAAGACCCTTCTGTCAGCTTCCATGCTTATTAGAAAGTGGTCAAGTACAAGGCCTTGTCTATACATGGGCGTGTTTTTTTTGCCCCCCCTCCCTGTCCAGAATGAATGAAAAAATGTGAGCTTAAAACAACAGATTTGACTATCCCCAAAAAACACACACCCATACAAAAGAGTTATCAGTTGGCTTAAGACCCGCAACTCAGCTTTTCAGTTTCCTGTGCGGCCACTTTCGGGCCCGGCGCACGGTCCTTGAGAACCGGACTCTTCATGCCGGGATGTTTCTTGAGCAACTCTCGCACGCAGTAGGACACGTTGGAGGTCACCTGCCGGATGAAGCTGGCCAAACAACATATGAAACTACGCCTCCTGAGCAAAAAAGTGGAGAAAATCGTCCAACCTGCGGCCAGGCCACAAGTTCCTCACGGGACGGACGGACCCTGTCAAGATGAATTAGCCATTTCCGCAAGGTTTGGTTGGTTCATGCAAAAAAGCAAGAAGAAAACCTTCAAGCTTCCAAACAAACAAAACAAGTTCTAACAAAATGCACACCAACTAAAAGTGTGTCAAAATAATTATAACACCAAATGTGGTGGTTGTCTATTTTCCCTTTAAGCCAAGGTGAAATGGTACCAATTCCAACAAACACGCACACATACATATAGGAACCCACGACAGCGGTTTCCCTTTGGAACCCTTTTTTCGTATTCCAAACAGCAAAAAATGCGGGCAGTGGACCTTCCACAAATATCAACAAGCTACCTTTATGGGCAGAGGTCATGAAAAAAAGCCGACAGGTCCTTGGACAACCCTCTCCCTAAGGGAAAAAAAGCCACAGCTGCTCTTTGACCCTCCCCTGTTGGGAGCCCTTGGCAAGTCCTTCATTTTTGTCGCCGGAAAGAGGATCTGGCCTTCACTTCCGTGGATTAACCCAAAGGTCCAAAGCTTTGGATTTGGAGTCCCAACCGCGGCTTGTGGTTCCATGGTCCGTTTTCTCCCCGAAGCTCGGGTTCCAACCCAACCACCTTAGGAAATCTGTGGGGTGGTGTCGGCGTGGGCGTTTCAGGAAGCGTGGGGCAAGCTTCAGCCCATTGATCGACAAAGCCTGGGCCATGTGCAAAAGACGGACGCGTGTCTTTGTTGGGGAAGGAGGGCGCAAAGGCCGCCAAGCATTTGCTCAAGCCGTTTAAAGGCTTCAACTTTACTGGTGGTTCGCATTGAAACTGCCACCTTGGGGGTTCCAAAAAGGGCACGTGGCTCGGAAACCCTGCGATTTTGACATAAAGTTCACTCCTTTTCCGGGCGCCACCCATCGCCGGATTTCGACCTATCGCCTTGGGCGAAGAGTCCCCCAACTTGTTGATCAGCAGCGCCAGCAGCGCCTTCTCCTGCTCCGGCTTTGCTTTCCTCAGGCCGAAGCTCCATCGGGCGTCGGCCAAAGAAACGTCTGGCGGGGGTTCCGAGCCACTTGCGCCCGTTGGAACCTGCAAGGCCATCATTTCAATGGCAACGCCCCAGTGAATTGGTCAATTGCTGACTTGGGAAAATCGAGTGACCCCTGTCTGAACTTTTGAATTTACCACCAACATGGCCTTATATATGGACCAACTTTGGGAAACCCACAGGTCAACACCTCACCTGAGTGGAAAGGGCCAAAAAACGTTCAAACTTCTTGAGTGCGCCCAAACCCTCGAACTCCAAAGCACATTTAAAAAAGGTCCTTTGTGAGCACATTTAGGGGGTCCAGAGCACATTTTTGGGTTTACAAAGCACATTTTTGGAGGATCCCTTTTACCCCTTTGGGAGCCCTTTTCGGCCACATGTGCGTACTGAGCACTGCTTTTCACACACTTCCTTTCCTGAACTACCATGAATGAGTAAGATATAAGATCCCAAAAAGATGATGTTCGCCTACGCCAAAAAATGCGCGTCCTACGGAAACTTTCTATGGGTTGTCTACGGGTTGTCTACGGTTTGTCTACGCCCCTTTTTTTTCTGAAGTAGACATCGGTGAAAATTGAAAGCACCCGTTTTTCTTTGGTATACTGCTCGCTTCGATTGAATCTTGGCTTGGAGTAGTAATGACACCGCTTCTGCTGCAACACGTGGGCCATGCAAGTTTTGAGCAAGTCAACCTGGCCGGCCCAGGACTAGAGACGCAAGAGCCCACCCCAAACACGTCCGTCAAGTTCCCGGAACCTCCTTTTCCCAGAGCACTCAAAAAAAAAAAAAAAACGTCCGAGGAAGCCTAGGGCAAAATGGCGTTCCCCAAAAGTTTGCAGTCCAGCACTTGGGGAGTGAGGACTTTTGGGTGTGGCCTTTCTCGAGAGGCCAGTGCCCGAAGGCAGAGTTCATGCAAGGGGGCAAACACATGCAAAAGTAGGCACCAAAATCGTTGATGCCCCCCTACAAAAGATATGCAAAATTTGGCCAGCCCTAGCGAAAGATTTATTGAACTTCAACGACGTCCCTCCTAGTGAATCACACTTAAAACCTAACCTACCCATCAGCACCAGACGAAAAAAAAGATGGCCGCTATTGGTTGAGGCTGGGATTATCAATCCCTTACTCAGCTTGTCTCAAACCCGGGTTTTGAGTCAATCTCAACCTTCTCTCAAACCCGGGTTTTGAGTCGATCCCATAATTACTCACCTTCTCTTAAACAACCGTGTTTTGAGTCAATCCCTTAGTGTTACAAGAAAATGTTCGGTCAATCCTTTACTCAGCTTTGCGAAAACGCCGAGTGTTTTGCCCAAATCGATCAGCTCCGGGCCGCAGCAAGTCGTAGGCCGTACGCACCGCCCGGCTCTTGATGTAGGCCACGGTGTTGTGGCTGGCTGCCGCCACGATCTGCCGAAACGAAACGCGAAAACGCCCCCGCTCCCAGCGGATTGGTCACCGGTCACCCGTCTAACCCGTTGCCAGGGAGGTTTCCGTTTCCATATAAAAGAAAAAACATGGTGGCAAACGCGAAGTAAACTGGTGGTTTCCCCTTGAAGTGATCGCCACTTTTGAAGGCCCAAAAATGGGAAATGGACAGAAACCCTCAAACATCTGGAACCGGAAATCACGAAACACGACTCACAAACCGGAAACAAATGGAAATCCCCAGGTGAGGGAGATTCCTTTTTGGTTGAAAAACAACTCATTAAAAAGCTAGACAAATGTTCGGGCGTAGGGCTAAGAAACAAGGTGCACAGCAATTCCGAAGGACAAATTACCCAAGTCCAGCTGCTGGCTTCACCAACATGGTCTCCCAAAAAAAAATGAAAGTCTAGGTCCTCCCGTAGAGAGGTTAGAATGAGAGTACCAACTTTTTTTGCTGTAGTCTATTTTAGTAGGGGAAACCCTCCCCCAAAAAAGGGCAAAAGGTCACTACTGGGGGACCTAGAAGTGCAGGAACGACGCTTATCAACTTAGACCATTTGACCGCGCCACACACGGCCCGAAAGCACAAGCAGTTGACTGGACACAGCTGGTGCCTGTTTTTTGTTCAGGGTACCTTTTTGGTTGCTTACAGGACGGCCAACAGGACATGACCCGTTTTGTCAGCTTCCCTCTGATTGGTGATTTGGATTGGTGGTCTGGTGGTTCAAGGAAGGCTTCCATGCAAGCCCTTTACAAGAAGGGGTTCAAATCCCCAAACCATCAATCCAAACCACCAATTGGTGGGAGGAAGCCAGTTGAACCCCTACTTTAACGGAACACTCACGATTCTGACAGGTTACGTCCATCTCCATTCAAAACAGCCAGGGATCTCCATATGCCCCCCTAAGCATCTACAACTGGTCCAAAGAACCATGTCAAGCTTAAAATAAAAGCGGAAAGCTCCGGATTGGCGCTAGCCAAGCCGGCTTTCTGGCCAGCCCGCTTGTCAGCCCATCGAAACAGTTTGCCTCAGCTTTTTGGCTCTTCTTAATTCAGCTTCGACTCGATCCAACGCACCAACCACAAGTCCCTCCACAGTGGAGCAGCTTAACTCGTCTTTGCTTCCCACAACTTTCTTCCAAGAGTTTCATCCGCAAAAGATGCCTTTGAAAAAAACATGAGCAAATTCGCCGAGGGCAACAGGGGTCACAAAATGTCCATGCCAAATCCAAAGTTGATCAGTCTACTGGTGGTTTCTCCTGGAAACTGTTTGCCACTTTTGGAGGTTCCAAAAAGGACAATGGCTTGGAAACCCCGGGAAACCACGTGGATACTTCAGCAAGTGGACCCGGCAGCCGAAGCAGCGCCTGCCTGAACAAAGGCGGCGTAAGCAGTCTTCAAGTAGTCCTAGCGCCCGGAGCCGAGCAGAAAACCTTCTTCTCACCTCACCTGCTGGGGGACGCCCAACATGGCGGTCCCTCCCTTTGGTGTCTCACTGCACCCTAAAAACAGGGCAGCCTCAAAAAACCATGGACCTAGTTGTGAGTTTTATACTTTGGGGCCTTCTCTGCCATTTTAATGATGCAATTGTAACCGTTTCTGACCTAGGTTTCATTACACTACATCATTCAGTCTCAGTAGGCAGAGCACCGCCCCCGGAAAAACCCCACTGAGAAATCCAACATGGCAATACCCGAGTCCAGTGAAGCTAGAAACCAAAGGCCAACGCGCGCACAGAACCAAAGGGGCGACACGCCCTCCTGAAATCCTTGGAGTCATGTTGAGAAGGGCAAAAGACTTGGATCCTTCTCAGCTTCCCTTTCAAAACCTTCCATTTGCTTAAGCCTCCTGGGAAAACAAAGTCCAGCGGCGAAGTTGATTCCCTTTAAAAACCAAGCAGGTAAAAAATCAAACACACATTCTGAAACGCAAATGGCAGAAACCTTCCAGCTCCCGTCCCTTGGACCCAAACCCCAAGGGGAACCGTTCACCTCGAAAACCCCCCGAGGAATACTTCAAGACACCTCGAAGAAGCTCACCACGCAGATCTCCGTGAAGGTGGACTTCTTCAGGCCCTTGGCAGACCTGAGATCCCGTTAGGGCGCTGGTGTTGGCTGCCGGGGAAAAGTTTCCCGCCTCAACGAGGCCTTGCAAAAGGCCCCGTTTTGGGGGCGAGATCGGGTTTGGGCTGAGCTCTGGCCATTTCCGACCTCAAAAGGCCCCGTTGAAAAGAGGAGACGTGGTTCCTCAACACGGCCGATGAAATCCCATTCGTTTTTGGGGGGAAGAGATCGGGTTTTGGTTGAGATCCCGTTTTGGGGGCGCTGGAGATCGGGTTTTGGTTGACAAGGGGAGACGCTTAGAACTGCATCAGGATTTTTGTTTCCGGCCTCAAGCACCTGTTACCCTTCTGCCTTTTGGGCTCTCAAAATGGTCGGTCCAAAACCGTTCAATAAAGTTTCCTGACCCCTTCAATTGGGGACGCAACAGCTACCAGTGGGATAAGCAACCAACGTGTGCACATGAATTCGAATTGGGGACCCTTTGGTGGACATCATTTAGGTGCGTCTTCACAGCTGACTGTGAAATGCGCGTGAAGACTCAACGTGGCGAGCCAAACTAGGTCTGTTAAAATGGGAAACCAACAGACACCCGTCATTGTTGGGTCCCATATGTTGACACAAAAAAAGGAATCACCAACAACTGTATTTCTCCTCAACTCGACACAGTCCAAATTTGCTCTACCATCTGTGGACATGGATGGGAATTCTCACCAAACCTCAGAGGGATTGAGACACTATGACACTGGAATCTGGAAGGAAACGCTTGCCAACTGGTGCGAGATGGGTTTTGCCCATTTTTCAGTATCATGTTGTTTTGCTACATGGGCAAGCGTTTCAGCTTACACTCCATTCGACGGCGACATGGCCGGCTCAGCTCCTATCCCAGGGCTCCACTCTTTGGTTTTGAAGGCAAATGGGGTTCTCTGAAAACTCAGGCATCCGCCAAACACATTCTGCTCGCCTACCCCACGGAAGCGCAAAATAGCCCAGGCTGGTCCAAAAACGAGCCGACCCCTCAGTGACTGAAGTCCGAAACAAATCTCTGGTTTGTCTTTGGGGGGCCTCCGTTGGCTCCGTCCCAACAAAGGGTGTCGGTCCCTATTCATGTTCCTCTCACACACACACACACACACACACCCAGCCAACCCCACCCCCCCACCCCCCCAACCAACCCCAACCCCCCGAACAACCCCAACCCCCCAAACAACCCCACCCCCCACCCCCCCGAACCAACCCCACCCCCCAAGCCAACCCCAACCCTCCCAACCAACCCGACCCCCCCAACCCCCCCAACCAACCCCCCCAAACCAACCCCATACCCGTTTCCAGTGGCCACTCCCGGCGACTCAAAAAACCATCCGAGCGGCACAGGCTCCATCTGCTCCAGGCGCTTCAGCTTGCGACCGGGCAGCAAGTTGTCAAGGAACAGCTCCTAGAATTCGATCAGCGAGCAGGTAAGGATTGGCCCCCCCCCAAAAAGCGCCGACACAGGTTGGACCACCTGTTTTGAACTTCGACGGTCAAAATAGAAGCACCAAAAGGAAATACCCACACGAAACCAATCATCCTTTGGGGTTCTCTATTTTGAGAAACACTAGGGGCCAACCACCCCACCCAAAAAAAAGTTAAAGGTTCAGTAAGGTAATGCTTCATTGGACCAGGTATGGTTCATCCTTGACTTTATCAATGGGAACTCGAGAAGGGAAGCCAAAGGGGCAAAGGCTCAAATTGCCTGAGATCTTGCCTAAGCGCACCTTAACCTGTTTTCCAGTTTAGGGGCGATTCCCTTTGGTTGCGAGTGAGAGATCCGAGTAGAGCATCCATGTAGCCCCGCAGTTTGCCCCTTTGATGATTCAAGCAGGGTTATCCTTTGGAAACAGCCACTTGCGTTGATGTGGTGCCACACATCCAGTTAAAAAGTAGTGGTTAGCATCGCCTTCGGGGGGGCAATTTTGACATGAGTTCCCTCGCGAAGGTGGTTGAAGGAGACATGGGAAGCCTGAAGTCCTGGGCCAGTCGAGCAATCTCTCGGGGGCTGTGGGCTGACAGGCTCATTGCGTTGGAACATGTTGGAACTATGTCTTGCTCAACGAACTATTGAAACCAACATATACTGCCGTTGGGAACCCCTTACGATTCTGGAAGCCCGCCAAAATAGGGATAAGTTAGCCACAAAGAGTAAGATAGAACTTCCACCTAGCAACTGGGTGTGTCCCCAAATGAGGAACCCGCAAAATGCTCGGTTTCCCAGTGAATTCCCTTTTGAACCCAAAAGGGTGCCCTCAAAAAGCCACCCCAAAAAGGGAAATACAAACCTCAGGGCAATGAGTGACTGAGACATAGTGGGAAAGGAATTGACAGAAACACACCTCAACTTGGTTGACGTTGGAAGGGGAGCAAAAAATTAAATTTTAGCAGGTAAGTGAGGAACTCCCACTAAACCACAACAAGCAAAAATTGGAAAATGTTTCCCAACAACAACCATGTCAAAGGGTATTCCCTCAAACCTTCCCCATCCTTGAGCGCATCCATTGCCATAGTGGAGTCGCTGCGTGCGGATTTCCCCGCCATAGTCAGCAGCGCCTTGATGAAAGCTGTCCTGTGGGGCATAAACATCCGCGATCCATGCGAGAGACGCGAGCGATCGGATTGAGTTGCATGGAATGGATTCCCCACGCAAAACCATCCCTTGCTGATGGTTTCAACTCTAAGGGAATCCCTGGGTTCATGCCCACATCTTCTGTTGAGCGCCAGCCAGCAACAGTCGGGGCAGAAAAGAGGGGGGGAGTGATGGACACATAGGATCTATTTTGTCATTTAGGGTATTTGTCTTTTTGGGTTTCGGGCTGCAAAATGGAGTTCAAATGTCCATGGCTCGGGGTGGGAGTGGGGGTGGGGAGGGGCGGGGGTGTATGAGGTTACAAATTTGTAGCCCTGCATGAAACAAATACATCAAAGGGCTCCTGCCCCTCGTGAAAGGGCGGTTGAAAATGCGGCTCCGGAAAAACTCACCCCTTGCGCTCTCCTTTATAAAGGAAACATGCGGGGTTGTTCGGGGGGAGGGGGGGGGGGTTCTGAACAGATTTCGCATATGTGATTTCCTGGGGAATCAACCAACCCCAAAATTTGACAATTGGAATCTGGGACCTCCTAAACTATGTTACATTGCAGGTGATCATGAAACAGTCGTAAAAAGTTGAGTGTGTTGTGTCAAGGATATCCCTTTTGGGGTGGCTTTTAAAGGGAAGCCAAAAGGAACATCACACGTATGACTATTTATACATATATATATATATACATGTGTGTGTGGGGGGGGGGGGGGGAAAGAAGACACACCTGTATTCTCAGCTCACCCCTTTGTGTTTGGTGTGCCGCGGAGAATTCCGGCGAGTGGCGAGAAGATTGGGCAAAGCTGGATCAGCATGGTGAGGGATGCCACTTTGTCCGCAGAGGTGCCGTCCGCGGAGACCTTCCGCAGCCAACCTGGGAGAAAAAAAGAAAAGACTCGGACCCAAATGAGTCATAATCAAAACCCGGTAAATTAAAATAGTCTATCCAGAACCATGTAAAACAAATAAGAAGGCGGCAGCAGCTATTTGGCTGGGATTGTCTCTGGCTACCCTTCATCTACCCGGGCTTTGATTGTGGCTTAAATGGGATTGGGACCTCTTATATCAAAAGGGGAACCCTTTGGGATAGCTGGTGGTAGACGGGAAACCAGAAAAGCTTCCTATTCGGTTTTTCCACTGGCCACGGACCGCAAAAATGGCAGCCGCTTATTTCCAGGTCTGCGCAAGTAAGAGGAAGGGTTCCCTCTTGGTCACGTTGGGGAACCCCACTTCCATTTGCGTAAGAGCATGCTATATGTTATTTTGTTGGTTTTAAAGGGAACTTATCACTGGACATATGTTCTCGTTTCTTCCAGCAGGCGAAAAAAAAAAAAGGAACAAACAAGAAGACAAAAAACACCAGTAACACTATCTGCAGACCCCCCCCCATCAAAAACAAACCATCCGTCATGCGATTGCTTTAGGAGAGGCCCCCTCCCAATGTCGTGATTGCGCTTGCAGTGTGCTGAAGAACTGATGTGTGGCTTGGTTTCCATTTTTGTTGACTCATCTCTTCAGAAACCAGCCATTTTCCGTGGGTCCTGAGCCATTTTTCTTGTAATAATCCGTGAGAATGGTGAGGGCGCTGGTTCAACGCATGGGACGTCCGGGCAAGTCTCACTTGTCGGGTGCAGCTTCCAAAAGACGCGCAAGGAAATGCCCCTGCAACCAGGCTCGTCCCTGCACCTAGTCAACAGCCTTTCGGAACTCACGAACCTCAGGTGATCCCTTACCATTGTTGCCCTGGCTCAAAGACTTCCGATCGAGTCCTGGAGCTTTTAACTAGGTCCTCCAGTAGAGAGGTTAGAATAAGGGCGCCAACTTTCTTCGGTAGTCTATTTTAGTAGGGGAACCCTCCCCCAAAAAAGGGTAAAAGGATGTAAAAGGGCGCCTAGCTGGGGGACCTAGTATTTTATTTCGATCCTGAAATGGTCCGAACCAAAAAAACACAAAGTCCGAGTCTAAACCGGGGAGTTGCTCAACTCTCGCCCAGGCATCGGCGCCAGTGCGCCACTGGGACCTTGCCTATGAAAAATTGCATAAGAGTCAAAAGAGCTGCCCCAAACCCTCACTTCCGATTAAGTGGATGGGCCAAAAAGAGTGGTTCACGAACTCAACAAGTTCTAAAAAGGTCCAGGCAATTCCGGACGTGGGAGAAACATTTGTTTTGCCCGCCAAAACGAGAGGGGACCAGCCAGCTGAACTGCCTGAAAGCCAACTGCCTGAATGGTGCCAGGCTCAACGACCTTGAGCTCCAAGGATCAACTTGAGTATCGACGCTCCCTTGTAGACTCTTTTTGTTAGGCCTTTTGGGGCGGGCACTGCCAGAAAGGCGTCCAATGAAAATTAACCATAGCCTCGTTGTGCTAACTGGTCCAAAAGCAAAGCCATTGCCAAATGAGGTGTGTGTGGGTGTGCGTGCGTGCATTGTTGTTCAGGGTACCCCTGATTATTTTGCAGTTTTGTTTAAAGGGAAACCGCGTAGTTTGGACGTCCCCCTACTATAAGACAACCCAACTGACCAAAGGTTGGATGGAGCGCAGGCCCAATTGCAAATGACTGCACCAATGGAAAGTCGTGAAGCACTACGTTCCGCTTGCAAACTTCATATTTGCAGGGGCTGCAAGCTTTGGAGATTAACATTCCCCAACCGCGAATGCCGGCACCCAAGGCAGAACCCGAGCCCAAACTACTAAGACAAAGATGGTGGGGCCCTGAAAGCCTATGCACATTGACTAGCCTCCATGCATGTTTGTTGCTGGAGCTGCCTCTGACACATAGAAGCTGGCAGCTGTTTCGATTTCAAGCAGGCCTAGACCCAGTTGCGGCGAGGCGCGCTGCTCCGAATCTTGCGCCATGGCGGACTCGTAGACCTGTCGCGCCCCCCAAAAAAGCAGCGAAAACGGGGGCTGGTATAACATGCACTGCCCCGCCCACCGAGAAACTGGCGTGCTTTCCATAAAAGGAACACAATGTTCTCAAAGGCGGGCAACATGCACTCATGAGCCCGGGTATCGCAGCAGTCAAGGTGCAAAAGCCATGAGCGGATCGGCACCCGCAGAACCTGTCGGTTACCTGGGTCGGCGTTGGCACAGCTCAGTCCAAGAGGATACCGAGGATTGTACACGGCATAGCGGGTGATGTTATTTCAACAGCCTTGCAGCAGGAAGGCCATTGAAGTGCTAAGACGAGAGGTGGGACGCTGCAACCCTCAAGTGGGGCCATGCCATCTTCCCAGATAATTTCTGAAAACAAAAAGCAAATAAGCCGTTTTTTCACCATACACCGGGGAACATCTTCCTTCTGACCCCGAGGTCCCAAAAATGCCTTCGCGACTTCCCTGCGATGCCAATTTGACCCAAATTCCATTCCCGGACACATCGACATCCATCGACCCCATCGACATGGGAATTGAAAGGGTCCTGTACATGGAATTGGTTGGAAAACACGGTTGCTTTCTGCTCCGCTGCTAAAAGTTTAACTTCTAGTGGTTTAATGGAAAACCCATTAGTTGGCAAAAAGTTAAAGTCCTAACATCCAAGCAAGATGCACCAAAGAAAACCACATGGTCAGTCAACCACACGGGGAAAGTTTCCCATGCTCAAAAGAAAGCCAAGGAAATGAGAGGGTCCATGGCCACCACCCCCTCGTCTTTAGAGTGGGTACCGTGGTCTAGGGTTAAGGGTCTAGAGCCCAAAAAAGGTACTCCCATACAAAGGAACCCATTTTTTTTAGAGCCAAAACGACCACCGAAGCCAACGACCCATCGACCCATCGACTCGACCAAAGTTCGACTCGCCTTGCGCATCTCCTCGTGGCGCTCAGCGCAAGCCTTCTGGAACTCGGCGGCCTTGCCGCGCTTCCGGCGCTCCTCTTTCGCGTTTTCGCACGCGCGGAAGGCGGCCGAAGCGAAGTTCGCTTGCCCGGTCGGTGGATTTGTTTGGCTCCATGGGGAGAAAAACAGGGGGCCTGGGGAGGGGAGTTCTGAAAGGACAGGCTGGAGGGGGGGTTCTGTTTATTCTGAAATTGGTTGGCTTCAAAGGTGTAAAAAACCTAACATCGAACGGACTTCACTTATGAAAAGAGGAGCAACGGGCAACACGGGAGGTCTGAGGAAAGCGAAGAGGAGGGTGTGACCTAAAATTGCCGGCTTTTGGCCCTTGGCTTGCTTGATTGTTGCGCCATGGCTCCCAATGTTGGTCATGCCACTCCAGAACTCACCTGAAACACGTTGACCCATACCTCAAAGCTTGCGAGCGTGCGCGACTCGAGCAAGGAAATTATCCAGCATGTTCAGGCACATTCTCAGGTTAACCCATCTGGAAGCCTGTGAGCAACTTGCTTTGGCGCCTAAGACTCTTTTCCTGGAGCCTGTGGGATAACTGGCTTGGTTCCCTGCAGATTATGTTTTGAAGCAATTGCCCAACGTCAAGACCCTGATCCTCATGCGCTCCTGACCGAATTAAAAACTAGACGACGAGTGGCCCGGAAGCATAGAGGCAAGTTGATGCAGGTGAGGTAACTCTCGCAAAGTTAGCATGAGGAGTTGGCAGGCGAAGCAATTCTCAAAAAGTTGGCATGAGAAGCTGGCAGGTTAAGTAACTCTCGAATAGTTGGCTGGCAAAGTTGGCGGGTGAAGTAATTCTCGCAAAGTTGACATGAGAAGTTGGCAGGCGAAGTAACTCAAGAGAAAAGTTGGCATGAGAAGTTGGCAGGTGAAATAACTCTCAAAGAGTTGGCATGAGAAGTTGGCAGGTGAAGTAACTCTCGAAAAGTTGGCGTGAGAAGCTGGCAGGTGAAGTAATTCTCGAAAAGTTGGCACGAGAAGATGGCGCGTGAAGTAACTCTCGAAAAGTTGGCGTGAGAAGCCGGCAGGTGAAGTAACTTTCGAAAAGTTAGCATGAGAAGTTGGCAGGCGAAGTAATTCTCGAAAAGTTGGCGCGAGAAGTTGGCAGGTGAAGTAACTCTCGAAAAGTTGGCAGGCGATGTTGGCAGGTGAAGTACCTCTCGAAAAGTTGGCATGAGAAGCCGGCAGGTGAAGTAACTTTCGAAAAGTTAGCATGAGAAGTTGGCAGGCGAAGTAATTCTCGAAAAGTTGGCGCGAGAAGTTGGCAGGCGAAGTAACTCTCGAAAAGTTGGCAGGCGATGTTGGCAGGTGAAGTACCTCTCGAAAAGTTGGCATGAGAAGCTGGCAGGTGAAGTAATTTTTCGAAAAGTTGCCACGAGAGGTTGGCAGATAAAGTATTTCTCGAAAAGTTGGCATGAGAAGTTGGCAGGTGAAGTAATTCTCGAAAAGTTGGCAGGTGAAGTTGCCACGAGAGGTTGGCAGGTAAAGTATTTCTCGAAAAGTTGGCATGAGAAGTTGGCAGGTAAAGTAATTCTCGAAAAGTTGGCATGAGAAGCTCGCAGGTGTAGTAACTCTCGAAAAGTTGGCATGATAAGCTCGCAGGTGAAGTAACTCCTCGAAAAGTTGGCACGAGAAGTTGGCAGGTGAAGTAACTCTCGAAAAGGTGGCATGAGAAGCTGGCAGGTGAAGTAATTCTCGAAGTTTCGGCATGAGAAACTGGCAGGTGAAGTAATTAACCCTCAAAAAGCTGGAGCGGCGGAGGCGCTCCGCGTGCTACATTTGCAATTTACAGTTGCGATTTTCCAGCCATTTGTATCTAAAAGTTGCGATTTTCCAGCCGGAGCTGCGGGAGCACGCTCCGCGTACTACGTCTGTACTTAAAAAGTGCGATTTTCCAGCCGGAGCTGCAGCAGCCTCCGCGTACTACGTCTGTACTTAAAAGTTGCGATTTTCCAGCCGGAGCTGCAGGAGCACGCTCCGCGTACTACGTTTGTACTTAAAAGCTGCGATTTTCAAGCCGGAGCTGCCGCGGACCAGGGGGGAATCGAACCCGGGACCGCGGGATTGCGAAAGCAGGCGCGCGCACCACGAGACAACTTCCAAAAGCCGTTTCGCGAGCAAGAAAATCGCACGGCGCCACAGCGAGAGCGCTTCGACACGCACGATCTCCGCAGAGGGTTCATCGGGCTCAAGACAGATGCGCACGGCGCCACAGCGAGAGCGATCCGACACGCACGATCCCCGCAGAGGGTTCATCGGGCTCAAGACAAATTCGCACGGCGCCACAGCGAGAGCGCTTCGACACGCAGGATCTCCGCAGAGGGTTCGCCAAGGTCAAGACAAATTCGCACGGCGCCACAGCGAGAGCGCTTCGACACGCACGATCTCCGCAGAGGGTTCGCCGCGCCAAGACAGATTCGCGCGGCGCCACAGCGAGAGCGCTTCGACACGCACGATCCCCGCAGAGGGTTCGCCTCAAGACAAATTCGCACGGCGCCACAGCGAGAGCGCTTCGACACGCACGATCTCCGCAGGGGTTCAAGGCTCAAGACAAATTCGCACGGCGCCACAGCGAGAGCGCTTCGACACGCACGATCCCCGCAGAGGGTTCGCCGGGCTCAAGACAAATTCGCACGGCGCCACAGCGAGAGCGCTTCGACACGCACGATCTCCGCAGAGGGGTGCGTTTCGTAAGCTCCCGTCGGGCCTACCCCCGCCATAAAAAGAAGAAGAATTAAGAGTCGAGATGTGAAGGTAGAACAGAAAAGTTAGCTTGTGTTTTTAGGATAGTGAAGTAACACCCGACAAATTAGCTTGTGCTTTTAGTAGAATGAGATAACAGCCGAAAAGTTGACATGAGAAGTTGGCAGGTGAAGTAACTCTCAAAAAGTTGACATGAGAAGTAGGCAGGTGAAGTAACTCTCGACAAGTTGGCATGAGAAGTTGGCAGGTGAAGTAACTCTCGACAAGTTGGCATGAGAAGTTGGCAGGTGAAGTAACTCTCGACAAGTTGGCATGAGAAGTTGGCAGGTGAAGTTGGCAGCCGCTTTTAGAAGAAGAACCCTTCGCAATGCTTCCGGGAAAAAACAGCTCAAGAAAAAACCCTCAAACTTTCCCGAAAAATTCGCCCAGATCTGCAGAAGAACCTGACCCCTCAGGGCCCCCACCCCACCCCACCCCACCCCACCCCACCCCACCCCACCCCACCCCACCCCACCCCACACCCCACACCCCGCCCCCGCTTTCGCCAGTCCTCCGGGCCCAGAGTTGTGCCAACTTCCCACCACCTGAACCGACCGACGCGAATCCACGCTCTGCGGTTGAGTCAGCTTCCCGCGAGTTGGCTTCACTGCTGGACCCCTGCTGTACCAAAAAGGGCCTAAAGACCAAGCTCAAATCAAGGGAGAGATTCCTTTCACAGAAGTGGTTGCAATAAACCCCTTTCCTTTCACAGAAGTGGTGTCTTTTCAAGGACCCTCTTTTTCCACCTGACTCACCCCCGGCCCCAACCATCATATGCTTGGATGATGGTGTGTTTCCGGCACCTGCCACTAACCGAAAGCATCTGTGGGAAGATCAAGTTCCTCTTCAATGGACTCCCTGTCAGGAGTGGCGACGCGGGAAGGGCAAAATAAGAATACACCATGTGAAACGAGACCCCTCGACTTTTCGGGGGAATGGGTTCAAAGCGAACCCCCCCCCCCCGGTTTTTTGGAAGCCAACGAGGGATAGACCCCTCCAATATCCCAAGAAGGTTCGACCAACAACTTTTGAACATGCTGACACGCCACTGGTTGAAACCAGCAACCCTTTTGGCTTCTCCCCAAAAGTGGCAAAGCCCTAAACGTTTCAACAGATTTTGCCCAAACCAAAAGTATGTTGCGTCCGTTTTGTGGTTTGGTGAGCCCTACGCAGCGATCTCCCTGAAGAGATGCCAGAGACCAGGGGAAGGGCGTTGGAAGCCTGTCCGCAAAGTCTGCAAGCCAACACCTGAGGCATCCCCAAAGGACC